CTTTCTGGATGATTTGATAAGGCCCATAGTATTTGGTTGCTAGCTTTGAAAAATGAGTTGCAGACAGAGTGAATTGTCTATAAGGTTGGATCTTTAAGTAGACCCAATCACCTATTTGGAACTGCCTATCTGACCTATGATGGTTGGCTTAAGAGATCATTCTTTGCTGAGCTCGACTAAGGTGGTATTTTAGGAGTTGAGTTTTGAGTTCTCTGGCTATAAGACTCCTGTCCACTTGTTCATCAACAACATCTCCAGAAAGGTAAGGTAAATGTATGGGAGGGGATTATCCATAAAGGGCTTCATATGGGGTGGTTTGGATGGCAGAGTGGTGTGTGGTATTGTACCACCACTCAGCGAGGGGTAAGTATAAGTACCAATCTTGTGGAGCATCAGAACAATAGCACCTCAGGTAGGTCTCCAAGCACCTGTTGAGAACTTCAGTCTGCCCATCGGATTGGGGATGATAATCAGTGGAGGTGCTCAAGGTAACTCCACGAGCAGAAAAAAGTTCTTGCCAAACCTTGCTGACAAACACTGGATCCCTATCACTCACTATGTTCTCAGGCATACCATGTAACTTGTAAACATTATCTAGGAACAATTGAGCTATGTCTGCAGCTGTGTAGGGATGAGAAACTCCCACAAAATGGGCATACTTAGTCAATCTATCCACCACCACCCAAATTACTGATTTGCCTTTGGATTTAGGCAATCCCTCCACAAAATCCATGCTAATACTTGACCACGCAGTTCTAGGAATTGCCAAGGGTTGGAGCAGACCAGGATAAGGAGAACTATCATATTTGCTCTTTTGACAGACAACACATTCCTTGACATGTGTAGTGACATCCTCCTTCATTGTTTTCCAATAAAATAGTGATGCCAGTTTCCTGTATGTATTATTGATACCTGAGTGGCCTCCTATAGGAAGATCATGCCATTGTTGAATCAGATCCTTCCTAAGTTCTGCATCATTTCCCGCAACTAGCTTCCCATTCTTCCTCAACTGTTGGTTATCATAAGAATAGCTATGGTTTTCCCCTTCCTTACTCTGTATCTTTTTTATCAAATCCTGCAATTCAGGATCATTCTGCCAACTTCCCGTGATTCTTTGGAACAAGATTGCCCCAGAATTGTTGATATGTAATGCGGTTAATTCTGCTTCAGGTAGCCTAGACAGTGAATCTGCAACCTTGTTCTCCCTACCTTTCTTATATTCTACAGTGAAGTCGAATTGCATAACTTTGGCTATCCGCTTCATTTGATTACCAGTGTGAAGATTTTGCTCCAAGAGAAACTTGAGTGCCTTTTGGTCAGTTCTCACTATGAAGTGTCTTCCTCTCAGATACTGTGGCCATTTACTGATAGCCAATACAATGCCAGGAGTTCTTTGTCATAGACTGACAGAATTTGATGCCTAGGAGAGAGTCCTTTACTGATGTAGGCAATAGGATGTCCCTTCTGCATCAAGACTGCTCCTATTCCAATGTCACATGCATCAGTTTCCACTATGAACTGCTGAGAACTATTAGGCAGAGCCAATACAGGAGCAGTGACTAAGGCTGTTTTTAGAGCTTCAAAAGTTGTGGTAGCATTATCACTCCAATGAAAGTTGTCCTTCTTCAACAGATCAGTGAGTGGCTTGCTAATCACTCTATACCTTTGTATGAACCTTCTGTAGTATCCAGCTAGTCCCAAGAACCCCCTTAGCTGCTTAATAGTAGTTGGAACAGGCCAATCTTGAACAGCAGCAATCTTCCTGGGGTCAGTAGCAACACCATCAACAGAGATAAAGTGGCCAAGGTATTCAATCATGCTGCTCCCAAATGAACACTTGGCTTCCCTTGCAAATAGATTGTGCTTCACCAATAACTCAAAGGTCAGCTTAAGGTGTACCAAGTGCTCGTCCATGCTTTGGCTGAACACTAGGATGTCATCAAAGAATACTAAGATGAACTTTCTTAAGTATTCCTTGAAGATGTGGTTCATAAGACCTTGGAAACAAGAAGGAGCATTAGTGTGCCCAATGGCATCACTAGATATTCATAATGGTCCGAATGAGTCCTAAATGCAGTCTTGGATATATTAGCAGGATCCATTCTTATTTGATTGTATCCGGATCTGAGGTCAATCTTTGTAAACACCTTAGAACCACCAAGCTCATCCAACAACTCCTCAATGATTGGGATTGGGAACTTATCTTTGATGGTCGCTTTGTTTAAAGCTCTATAATCTACACAGAGTCTTCATGATCCATCCTTCTTGCTAACTAGAACCACAGGAGAGGCATAAGGGCTGGAACTAGGTTGAACAATGCCTTGATCCAGCATTTCTTGGACTAGCCTTTCAATCACATCCTTGTGAGCAGAAGAGTACCTATATGGTCTGATGTTAATTGGATTGATACCAGCTTCTAAGGGTATTCTATGGTCGAATAACCCTCTAGAAGGTGGGAGCCCAGTAGGTTCTGAAAACAGAACCTGGTACTCCTCTATGAGGCTTTTGATTCCCGGTTCTATCCCTGCAGATTGAGGGACTTTGGCATCTTTAGAATCTTCTGTAGGCAGGACCCTTATCATGAACAACTGAGCCTCTCCTTCAGTCATTTTCCCTAAAGTTCTAGCATCCACTGTCTTGAGTCTAGCAGCATCACCTTGCAGCAGATGCTTCTTTCCATGAAGATGAAATTCCATAGTAAGTTGAGTGAAATTCATCTTGATATCTCCAAGAGTTTGAAGCCATTGAACTCCTAGTACCATGTCACATGTTCCTAAGGTCAGCAGCAATAAATCAGTTTGAAATGTGGCTCCTTGAAGTAACCACTTCAACCCTTTACAAATCTCAGTAGCATACACAGTGCCACCATTTGCAACACTAACAGGCTGAGGATTGACTTTCTGGACTTGGCAACCAAACCTCTTAGCTACTGCACTGTCAAGGAAGTTGTGAGTACTTCCTGTATCAATCAACACACTGACAGGACCCTTCTCTGTGTAACCTGTGACCCTTAATGTATGGAAGCCAGTTACCCCATTGAGTGCATTCAATGAGATAGTTACAGGATCAATTTCCTTTCTTGCTTCAGCTTCTTTACTGGTTTCACAAACTTCCTCTTCTTGAATCTCTTCAACCATCATTACGTACAACTGTTGATTGTCATTTTCAAGTTACATTCCCTCTTCCAGTTCCAACAAAAATATTTGTTTGTTGGTCTTACACTTATGTCCCGGAAAGTATTTTTCATCACAAAAATAGCAAAGACCTTTAGTCTTTTCTCATTAAGCTCAGCTGGTGTCAGCTTCTTTCCTTTGCCTTTGTTCCACTGGGAATTGGGTTCAGGAGGTTTATAAGGTGCTTTGGAACCTGAGTATGGGACAATGGAAGTATTTTTTGAAGCTACAAAAGGGGTAGGGGAAAGAAAGGTCTTAAGGTTCTGTGTTAAGCTAAGTAAGATGATTTTTGTAGTCTGGCTAGGTAGTAAGCTTGTGGTAGGGAATTTGGTCTGTGGGCTTTGACATTGTCTCTATATTCAGGTCTAAGACCAGCTATGAAGCAGCTGATGGCATACTCCATTGGCAAGGATAGTCTATTCATGGACCTTATCAAACTGGTCTTGGTAATCTTTCACAACTCCCGTTTGAAATAACAGCTTGAGCTCAGCCATGGGGTCATCATACTCAGCACCAAATCTATCGATTAAGGCATACAGATACTCATCCCAGCTAGGATAAGGTAAATGCATTCTACTTTTCATATAAGCTTGGTGCCATTCTATAGCAATTCCCTCTAAATGAATGGAAACCACTTTGATTTTCTGAACATGAGGGATTTATTCTAAAGAGAAAAACTGCTCGATTTTATAAAGCCAGGATCTGAGATCCTTACCATCAAAATGAGGGAACTCTAACTTTCCTAACCTGGATAGAGTGCTAGCATGAGTAACACCATGAGAACCTCCTGTGACAGCAGCTCCATTGTAACCTCCTAGTGCTGGCATAGGCTGATTTTGTTGAGCTGGTGTGCCTCCAAGGTTGACTCCAACACCTATTGATGGAGACTGTACCATTCCAGGTCCAGTAACCCCAGGATGGTTTACTGGTTGAGAAGAAGAAGGGTTCGAAGAGCCTCCACTCCCCTGCACTCCAATTCCTTCAAAGGGCCCAACCGTTGGTGAATAAAGCTCCACTCCCAGATCTTGCTCAGGTAAGTTCTTGCCCTTATCCTGCTGTTTTTGAGAAGCTTGTACTGCTTCTCTCAGCTCGTGGAGGGCCTTGTCTCGATTCTCGTCCATCTAATTTTGCCGCATCGTGATGTGTGCGATTTCCACCGATAATCTCTCAACAACGTCAGCCAAGTTTTTTATATCGGAAGCCATTACTCACAGTCCAAGAGCAACTGCTCTGATACCAAATGGTGTAGCAGCAATGGAACAGTGCAAAAAGAAGAAAACTATGCTAAGCTAAATTAAGCTATAAGGATTTCATTCATGTAAATCCTATCAGCTATTACAATAGATATAGGTGATGAAAGCTGTAAAAGGATAAGAGTGTTGAGCAAGGAATAGTACAAGCTCCTCTGCCCAGCTGTCCTGCAAATAACTGTATTTGCAGAGGATGGAATCTGCTTCACAGCTAAATGTCTAGGGACTTGATTGTAATACTAGAAACTTATAAAATAAAAACACTAGGACTTAAGTGTCAAGGACCTAAACTAGATTTCTCCAACTAACTCAACGGCGAGGTATACTTCCGCAACTAGCTGGTACCATCATCCTTCTATACGCATCATCCCCCTCTCCTTGTCTTCATCCTTCCCTCATCTTCAAGAACGCTGGTAATATTGTGGATATATTTATACAACAGGTTTAAAAGTGGCTACTGTTGCACTATTTTTCCTCTCCAATTTCTCTTTGCACTCCATCCCTGCGACTGCACGGCGAACGGCACGGAAACAGGCAGCGTACGGCAGATTTGTGACAGACCCGTCTTCTAGCTTAGTTTCTATCTCTATTTCTCCTTTTCTTATTACCTCATCGTGATTTGTGAGTAAGTTCTGATGACACTTAGGTTAAGGGCTTCACGACTAAGCTTTGACTGGTTTTCCGATGTAGAAATACACTTCTAACCTATATAGGAAGATCCTACATTTGTATGTGTGAAATTTATATATTTTTATACAACAAATTATTTGGACATAAACAAAAACTTGAAATTTGGGACTGGTTAGCTTCTAGGAGAGAACAATGCCTCTGAAGAATATCTGAAGGCGTTTGTATTTTTGTCTTGCCCAAAGGAAAATGATATCTAAGTATATCAAGTGTCAAGGAAACAAATATGAACTACTTATGTAGTCTCACAATTACTATAACACGAGCTGTCCTTGTATATTATTTGAAGAGGAGATGCTATATGTTGATTAGGACCCTATTATAGTGAAATTCTTGACCTGGGGAATTTCCCTAAGCAAGACTAGAACTTGTAGATGGGTGATTGCGGAGAAGCATGCTGTTGTGATTTTTGTTGTTGCTTTTTTTGTTGGTAATAACTGTGAATATATTACCATAAACCATCCAAACTGATACACCTAAAAGAGCACTTGAAATTTACAACCACCTTCTAGGAAGGATGTTGAGTAATTCCAAGCCTCTGGTTAACAAACTAATTACAAAACTTCTGGATCAATAAGAAGCCTTTGGCTCGTCATGTACCGCCTAGGGATTGGCCGCCGAGGGGGTGGGAGGTTGATAAGAAGGAATTGGAGTTTATTAGGGAAGCCCATAAGTTGCAGGCAGTGAGAGTGGACTATGATAAAGTGGAGGAAATGGTGAAAATGGAGACTGATGATATGGGGTTGGACCGGTATAAGATGTTCCTGAAGCAGTATAATGAGTGGGTAGCTGCTAATAAGGATAGACTGGAACAAGAATCTTATAAGGTAATACAGGGTTATTTGTATCCATTTAATGAGGTTTTAAGTTAATGTTAGGCTATTAGTTTGACAACTTAAAGTTAATGCATTGCTGACGTCTCACGTCTTTAATTCTTGTTGTGCTATCACAAATACTGTATTTAGAGGTATCATGTATTATTGTTCAAGACTGCTACTTGCTTTTATCTTTAACATTGAGTTAATTTTTTTGATGTAAAGTTTTATCCTTTTTACGCGCTTCACTTTTTTTCTGAGAAAAGAATGTATTTTTGGTTCATCAATATTCTACTACTTACATGCAATTTTGTGATGTCTGTGCAGTATGACCAGGATTATTATCCTGGGAGGAGAAAAAGGGGAAAGGATTACCAAGATGGAATGGTATGATAGATGTTGCGTTTCCTGTTGCTGTTGAATATTTTTACTCTTTATTTGGGTTAGTGATGGATGTTTGTGTCATAACTTTTCCCCCCTTTTCATATGGTTGCAGTATGAACTCCCATTTTACTATCCAGGACAAGTAAGTTGCTTTCTTTTCCCTTTCTCTAAACGATGATAAGGTCAATCTTTCTTTTGAATCTTAGAAACTCTGTTTTCATACATCTCAATAATTGAATATGAGAAGTTGGGCAGTTATCGAAGAGATTACAAAGTGTTCTAGCCATATTTGACTTTAATTGTCTCAGCAGGAAAATCCTAATAAAAAATTTGTCTTAGCGGATAATTTGATTCTTGTTTATTCTATTTAAACCAAACAAGCTTAGTATTTTTCAGTTCCACTTTTCATCTTCTGGCTCTTTTAAGTTTTCTCCCCTAGCAAGAAATTAATCTGAAAACCCTGCCTTAAACTTTAGAATTTCTTTTCCTCCAAATCAATAATCATGTGTGTGAGTGTACCAGCTGCCTTTCTGTTGGTTTGTATCACTATATCTTCTAATAGTTTCTCCTACAGGTTAGGGATAGATATAAACATATATGCACTTTTGAAGAAAAATTATAGAACATTCTATTCTAATTTTAGCTTTAGCCACGTTTTTATAGCCAGTATCCCATGCTACCCCTTTTTGCCAAAGTTTGATAAGGTCTTTTGTTATCTACATGTGCACATTCATTTTCTCTCTAGTTTTAGTTAGTGCAGCAATTTGACATGAATGTTCAATGCTTATGTGAACTGTAAATTTATGTCTTATAGGAAATCTAGGAAACTGTTAAATTAAAACAAAACTAAAACCTCATCTAGGATTAGTGCTATCCACATCAGATTGTTAGAACATAAAGCTACTTTTTGTAATAGGCCTTATATTGCTCTATTCAATTGGAAATTACGGCACATGAGTTTTAAAGAAAGGCAAGCTTATAAGTCTTTTTTGCAGATATGTGCGGGTAAAGTGACAGCTATACATAAAGTTGACATTGGAGGTGTTCATGATGGGTAAGCTTGTTCATGTGACCTGTATAACAAAATTCCGGACATGTAGGTGAAAAATTCTGATTCACGTGTTTGATAATTTACTTGTCAATTTTTTTTAGGTGGGTGCGAAATGACTGGTATTGGATCCGCCATCACATAAAAGTTGGTATGCACGTCATAGTTGAAATTCTGGTGAGTGATGCTTAACATAATCTGAATTTGTTTCTTGTTTATGCCTCTATGACTATACGTTGTATTATGAGAGTGATCGATGAGTTTCGGATAGTTAGTAATTTATATTAATTGAGGTAGCTATACTATTTCGTTCCTTGACTTTTTTTTGATCTCATGAAGATGGTTATGATGGTACTTATCTTTCTTAATCTTCACAAAGACTTGCTCATTCAGTTTTCATAACTGTGCAGAAACCCGAGTCATGGAGATTGGCTTGCCAAACTATAGTTGGAAATAAGGAAAACTCTGGAAAGGTATCAGAATTATATTATGAACTTGTTTAGCTGCATTCCTTGGATCTCAATTTTTTCAAAATCATTCAACGTTTAAAATATACGTATTCCAGATAATTATGAATTCTTTTATAGAATAAAACTTAAAACCTCTTCACTGCAAGAAAATTCAAGTAAGCCATTATTATCACCTCAAGGTCTAAACATGTGTTGTTAAGGAACAACTGTGATGTCTGCACCTGTATGTTCTCTCATACAGATACTGGTCTTTCAATGATTATGTACAGGTAGTAGTGCAAAGGTTGCCTCAATGGAAGAAGTGACCGCAGATGTATAAATTGAACAGCTAACGCAGAAACAGAAGAATATACATCTACTACTTTGAACAGGGTATAAATCACTTAAAACCAGAATGCTACAGTAGCTAGAGAAATATGTATTTTATTCATTCACTAAGTGACAACATAGTTTGGTCAATCACTAGTAATGTTTATTTGTTTGGTTTCAATTAATTTATGTGTTGATGCTGTTTTGGTTTAAGTACTTTGAGAGACATGTTATTTAGTTTATAAGCTTGTTTGGATGGTTTGATAGCCATGTTGTTGCATTCCAAATTGATATTCCACTAATGGCATTGCTTCTAATTGGTAATAATAAGGACTCTTTTGGTTGTTTTAAGCTCTGATTGGCAGTATTTTGTTATTGAAAATCGACCGGGAATCTCATTTTTTTTCCCAGAAATTCGAAATTTCTGATCAAATTCGGTCGGAAATTTTAAATTAAATCTCCAGAAATTTCCGACCGAATTCGGTCGGAAATTATGAATTTATATATTTTTTTATAATAAATTAATAATTTATTACAATTTACAACTAATTATTTAATTTATCTAAAATTATTATTTTTTAAAATTTCCAACCAAATTCGGTCGGAATTTGAAAATAAAAAAAAATAATAGTTTTCAACCGATTTCGGTTGGAAATTTGAAAATTTAAAAAAAAAAAATTAATAGTTTCCGACCGATTTCAGTCGGAAATTAAAGTTTGACAGTCAGTCAACGCTTTGAAGTTTCCAACCAACTTCGGTCGGAGATTTCCGACCGATTTCGGTCGCACCGTTTTCCCGACCAATTATAATTTTCGACCGATTTCGGTCGGAAATAGCGGACGGAATTACACTGTTTTTTAGTAGTGTTAAAATGTTGAGTTGTCCTTTAGCCACACAATAATATGGGGGGCTTATAAGATTTTTAGCGTTGTGTTACTATAGGATATCTCTACTTCAGTATTCAGTAATATAGCAGTGTTTAGCTAAATTTGTCAAAAGAAAAAAGAACTCCAACAGTTAAGAAGGGGAAAAAAGGAGGAGACCAGAACAGGGAGGAAAATATAAAGTGGGTATAACTATCTTGACAATTAATTCAAGTGATGCCCATATAAGTAACTTAAACGATGATGTTGATTTACAAATACAATGAGCAACATTAATGAGAAATTAAAATGTACATTTAAGTGATCCAACTGCTTTGACAAATGGGAGAGATTGAGAGAATTAATTTAATCTCTCTAAAAATAATAGCAATCAGTTTGTGCTATATATCTATATCTATATATATTAAAGCAAAAAAGTTACATATATAATTGATATTATGGCTAAGCCAAGTGGCAAGCTGTATAGATAGAAAGGCAGAAAGGGAGGCGTCGGCTCTGAAATGATGGAAGATTAAATCATTCCTTCATTCTATTCCGGCTATTCCTTTCCGGCGGGTGATTTATTCATAAGCTAGAGAGATAAGAGCTTCGATTCGCAGGCAGGATATAGAAATCGGGCACTATCTATATATAGTAGCTTCTAGCTCTGCAACTAAACTAAAGGCCCTGGAACATAGTATACGCCTAGAACTGGTGATGAAGATAATGCGAAATGTTAATAGTATATGGTAACTTTATTCTATATTTGGCTATTTTAGTTAAAAGATAATTTTGAATTTATAGATAAAGTTCTAAAATTCGAATTTAAATTAAAAATAAAATTTATCGTTTTTTATCGTGTTATCATACTTAATTCGTGTCACGACCCTAAATCCAGACCCGGTCGTGATGGCGCCTCTCGTGAAGACAAGGCCAGCCGACACAACTCCCAATTCATTTCAAACAATTAATAACACAATTTAAGTGATTAACATGCTAATAATCCCAAAATAGAAGTGAAATAGTACAATTTGCGGAAAAACCAACACAGCCCGACATCGGGATGTCACCAGTCATGAGAATCTAACATAAGTCTCAGAATGTGGAAAAGGGACTACACAGCCTATTACAAAATCCAGTAGGAGGGAAAGAAATAATGATAAGAGGGAGAAACACTGGGCTGCGAATGCCGAGCAACTACCTAGTGGACTCCGGAAATCTGCTGGAAGCTATCAACCCTCGCTAGCAGGACCTGAAGCGCCTAAATCTGTACACAGGGTGCAGGGAGTAAAATGAGTACTCCAACTCAGTGAGTAATAATAATAAATGAAGACTGAGCGATAAGCAATCACGAAGAATCACAACAACATGCTATAAAGAGGCAGAATAAAACCAATAAAGTGCAACAAAACAGTGAAATCTCATAAAACACCTTAGTTCAGAATAAGCTTCTTTAAAATACCTTTTTAACAGTTAAACAAATTAAAAAGGCAGCAAGAAGAGATAAACACATAAAATCCGCCCCTCGAGCACAATGTCAACAGAATCAGCCTCTCGGGCAATAACATGGAACAACACCAGCCCCTCGGGCTATATCTCATATCACAATGGGTACCTGCGCTCACTCGGGGTGTATAGACTCCGGGAGGGGCCCCTTACAGCCCAAGCGCAATATCAAGCCATCTCGTGGCATAATCAATAGGCTATCGGCCTCATATCAAGCCACCTCGTGGCGTACATCTCAGGTCCTCGACCTCATAATCATAATCATAATCAGTACAATACCGCTGCGGCGTGCAGCCCGATCCCATAATGATCCTCACAACACAGGCTCTCGGTCCTACTCAGTCAGAAATCTCTAAAAGCCACTCGGGCACAGTAAAATAGGGTGCTCAGCCCAAAATATCATTTAAAGTGTTAAAACAGAGTAAACATGGCTGAGTTATGAAAACAATATAATATAACATGACTGAGTATAGATATAAAATCAAAACAGTGAGGAAATAACAATAAAAATCCCCTAAGGGTCCAAGCAGTTGGCACATGGCCCAAACACGGCATTTAGCCCCAAACATAATTATACTTTCAAGAATATAATAATATCAAATAGTTTCCAAGTAAATACGCGACTTAATAGTCGTACGGGACGGACTAGGTCACAATCCCCAACGGCGCACGACCCCACGCTCGTCACCTAGCGTGTGCGTCACCTCAAAATAGCACAACGATGTGAAATCCAGGGTTTCATACCCTCAGGACAACATTTAAAATCATTACTCACCTCAATCCGGCCCAAACTCTAGCTCGCGATACCTTTGCCCCTCGAATCGGCCTCCGGATGCTCCAAATCTAGGCAAAATCAGAACCATCAAAATATGCTAAGGGGACAAAGCCCACTCGAAAACAATCGAAAAATAACGCGAATCCCGAAATTAACCAAATCCGACCCCCGGGCCAACGTCTCGGAATTTGGTAAAATTCACATCAATAGATTCCTCTTCTCCCCACGAGTTCATACATATCAAAAGTTCTGAAATCCGACCACAAATGGCCCTTCAAATCCTTAATCAAAGACCTAAGTTCCCAAGCCCTAGTTTCTTCCACATTTACCCAATTTTTCCACAAATTTCAAGTCTAATCCGCGAAATAATACTATAAGGACGAGTTTTTGTGATCCAAAACCTTACCTCAATGAAGTCTCCTTCAATTCCTTCTTCAAAATTGCCCAAAAGCTCCAGAAATCGTGTTTAAAAATGGTGAAACCTCTGAAAATCGCGAAGGAAAAATTATATACATTCTGACCCAGGGATTCCGCACCTGCGGTCCTTAACTCGCTCCTGCGCAACCGCTTCTGTGGTCCTAAGCGCCGCATCTGCGGTCATCACTTAAACGCCCACTTTCCGCATCTGCGATGCACAACCCGCACCTGCGCCATCGCAGGTGCGGTTCCTTAACCGCTCCTGCGGTTTTTGCCTCCCTTGGCTCCTTCCGCTTCTGTGACTGATCTTCCACATCTGCGGTGGTCGCACCTGCGATCCTTGAACTGCAGATGCGGTTATGACAGTAGTCCTAAAACTTCAGCAGCCATTTCCAATTTCCTATCTTTCCGTCAACCATCCGAAATCACCCCGAGGCCCCCAGGACCTCAACCAAAAGCACAAACAAGTCATATATTACCATCCAAACTTATACCAATCTTCAAAACACCTCAAACACATCAAATCAACCAAAACGCATTGGATTCAAGCCTAAGATTCTCAAAATCTTCCGAATTACGCTTTTGATCAAAAAGTCTATCAACCCACGTCCGAATGACCTGAAATTTTGCACACACATCCCAAATGACACAACGGACCTACTGCAACTCTCGGAATTCCATTCCGACCCCTATATCAAATCTCACCTATCAACCGGAAAACGCCAAAATTCCACTTTCACCAATTCAAGCCTAAATCTACTACGGACCTCCAAAACACATTCCGATCACCTCCTAAGTCCCAAATCATCTCCCGAAGCTATTTGAATCATCGGAATTCACATCCGAGCCCTATAACACATAAGTCAACATCCGGTTGACTTTTCCAACTTAAGCTTTCTTAAAAGAGACTAAGTGTCTCAAACATTACCAAAACCTCTCCGAACCCGAGTCAACCAACCCGATAACACAAAATACAGCTGAACAAGGCAATAAGAAGCAGAAATGGGGGAAACAGAGCGGCAACTCATGAAACGATTGGCCGGGTCGTTACATCCTCCCCCTCTTAAACAAACGTTCATCGTCGAACGGGTCAAGAAACATACCTGAAGCCTCAAACAGGTGAGGATATCTGCTCTGCATCTCCCGCTCGGTCTCCCAGGTAGCCTCCTCCACGGGCCGACCTCTCCACTGCACTTTCACTGAAGCTATCTCCTTCGATCTCAACTTTAGAACCTGACGCTCCAAAATGGCTGCTGGCTCCACATCATATGTCAAATCACCATCTAACTGAACCGTGCTGAAATCCAGAACATGAGACGGATCCCCAATATACTTCCGGATCATTGAAACATGAAATACCGGATGCACACTCGACAAGCTGGGTGGCAAAGCAAGCTCATAAGCCACCTCCCAAATCATCCGAAGTACCTCACAAGGCCCAATGAACCGAAGACTCAATTTACCTTTCTTCCCAAACCTCATAACACCCTTCATGGGTGAAACCTTCAACAAGACCTTTTCACCAACCATGTAGGACACATCCCGAACCTTTCTGTCGGCATAACTCTTTTGTCTCAACTGCGCTGTACGAAGCCTCTCCTGAATTACCTTCACCTTGTCTAAAGCATTCTGCACTAAGTCTGTACCTAATAGCCTAGCCTCACCCGGCTCAAACTAACCAACCGGAGATCTACACCGCCTCCCATA